TYCMWWWTTTTTTTTTCCCCTGTGCTTGGTCAATAAAAGTAATATTCACTGAATTCAACAGTTTTCTTTTCATTTATTTGAGGGTTCCTGAAAGCCAACAAGTTGCACTTTGGAATGACCTTATTGTTGTATCATGTTTTTGATCTGAGTTTGTTGCACAGAATGAAATGTCTGAACGAGTGCTCATCCAAGACTGGCGACTCCATACTTTTTGCCAGGGGTTTGTAGTTGTGAGAAACCAAAGGAAGTCTAAAATTTTACTGAAAAGAAGTCTATTAAAGCTGCTTTATTTTTTCTGTGGTAACTTTCAAAGCACTACTAGTTTGATCCTCTAAAAAAGTCATGTAAGGACAACATCATCTGACAAAATTTCCACTCATAAACTAAAAACAATGTTCGTGTAGCATTGTGGTGATGCATACATATACAATAGTCAAGGAGAAAATTCAATCATGCTGAGTGTCTTGAAGTGTTTTTTCCAGACTGCATTAAAACAGTTTTTCATCTCAGCCGTGCCAGGATGGTTAAGCCTGGATGCACTCTGTAGTTTTAGCCTGCTCCCATGGGGTGTTTAGAACACAACTCAGCTTTCAGTTTCTGTGGGTAAAACCTTTGATTTTTGTTATGTTTAAAGAAATGGGGGATTGGCGTGCATTTTTACCAGTTCCTGCAAAGACAGGAATACCTGCACGGGTGTGTGTGCAAAAACCAGCATTAACTTAAATAAATAGGTGGTGCTTCGTCTTGTAAATGTTAAATCTTTTAAAGTCTGCTTTCTGTAGGAGCCAAGTTATAGCTGAGCTGTATTTTTTATGCTGTCCAGAAAAGTCCCAAACAGCCAACAATGAATTTTTCAATATGGGGGGAACTGTGAGCCATCATTCGGAGCTCCTTGACAGCTTGCACCGGCATGTAGAAAAAAAGAAGCATTATTCCATGCTACACACGTCCTCAGAGATTCCTGTATTTTCTGTCTCACATATTAAGAAAGCTCGTGGTGCAGTGGAAATGTCTAAATGGTTTTAAAGCCATGACTTTTTAAAGCAATGTAAAGACTGATAACCTGGTAACTAACCCATGCTTTTTAGGATGCAGGATCATGTACAATTACTATGAATGGTCAATATCTTACCTGTTGTAGATAGTTGTTTGAACAACTTCTGTTTAGAGAAACAGTTTAAATCTGACCCGAGTGACGAGTTGGATGATGGTGCTATTGAATAAAGTGTTAAAAAATAATATTTAGAAGAACTTCCATGAGATTTGGAATCTTTGACATGTTTTAAAAGGAYAAAGATCCCCTTTAGAAATAGCCATGCACAAGCGTGGCCAGTATAATAACACATTTTCGGCATCTTAAAACAGCGTCATTCTTCAAACTCTTTACAAAGAACTTCACTTTAATTGTTGCCTGGATTATCATTTTGTCAAACTGAAGGCTTTCTTAAAAAAATTTTGGGTTGAGTCATTTGTGTGTGTACCACGAAGCGGAGGGAAGGAATGAAGCTAAACATTCCACAATGCTTCCAGGTAAACAAGCAAAAAATATATATTCTAGCATAAAAAATCTTGACTTTGGAATTCCTCTAAGTTCTCATGAAACTGTCTCAACTGGTGCAAAAGAGGTTTTTAAGCTGTCCCTTCTAAGTTACACCACAGTGTATCCTTTAAAGCCCGGTGTTTGAGCCTGAATGTTGAGACAGTAAGAAGTTAGAGAATTTCAGTTTGCTATTGGTACTAGCAAGTGTGCAGCCTACATTAAGTGTCTA